AAAATAATTGAATATTTGAACAAAGAATTCTAGTCTCTTCCCAGAATTGATTGTCCTAGCTGATCACCTGTTAAGACCAATTAATCTCAGAATATTTTAAAGTGTTTGCAATTGTAATGTATTTTAGTATGTGATATAACAAGCTATTGACAAACTGTTATTGTTTTTTAGATTAATGAGAACATTTAAAATTTTTTTTTTTTTTACTACCTGTTTTTTTAGTAAAACTGATGATGGTGGAAAACACCGAAACGTTTTTTTAAATTGATAAATGAACAATAAATAAATGACTGAAGAACCCAGGATTTGATTTTAATAATAATACTTAAAAAAATCTCTTCTGGATCCAAACTATACAAATTAAAAGGAGCGCCCGACAGGGTTGCATGCTTTCACCATTACTTTTTAACATTTACTCAAACAAAATATTCGAAAGTGCCTTGGAAAAATGTCCTGTAAGAATTTCCACTCATGACCCAAACAACCTTAGGGACTCTGACGGCACAGGGACTCGCTGGAAGGTCTTCAGATTCTACCTGACCGTTGTGCAACTAATAGTGCAGAAGTTGGATTAAATTTATTTAAACATTAAAAAAAACAAATAATGGATACTTATTAATAAGAACCAAGCTGGAGAAAATATGCTACCAATTCAACGAAAGCTGCATAGTATGCAGGAGGTTCGTGTCCGAATTGAACAAGCCGGTGTAAAAATGTAGTCGGTGTTGGGTTGCCGAAGCTTTCGAAATGTGGACGTATCAACGGTTGTCGAAAATATACTGGATGGACGGAGTGCGCAATGTAGATCTGCTTCCAAGAAAGGCAATAGATCTCTAAGTCATGCATTTCAAAAAACTTAAGGGAACACGGCACTTGAAGAAGGAGATTAACGTTAAACTCCAAACCTCGTTAACTTCGCTTAGATCTACAACCCCTATGAAAAGTAAATACAAACCAATCCGGTTTATATTTGAGCGTTTTTGCTAAATTCACTAATAGCGTGAATAAGGGTGGGAGCTGCAGATTTTTCAAATTTGATAATAGCACATTATATCTAGTGGGAGGATGTTAATTTGTTTTCTTTTGCAGCATATCCATGGTAGTCTTGTGGACTTGCGGAGACATCTTTAAAACATTGTACTTCCTGTTGCGCGATGCTCCAGTGCAATTCTGGGTGTGTGGATCCATGCAAGTGGCCATCGACCTACTCATTCTTCTTCAAGTATTCATCTACAGGGGTAATACCGACGCGGGCCGGCCTGTGTCGCATCGCATTGATTGAGTCGTGGTTCGATGGACCCATGAAGAATCCAGACTTCGAGTGGAACCATCTAATACCGAGGTAAAGCTCGTTGATGAAACATTGCACGCTAATCTAGACAACGGAAGATGTTTCGATACTTCCATAATTCCGAAAAATTGCATTTCCGTGAGCGCAGACATTCATTCGGAAGTGGTGCGTGTTCATAGTTTATCTAGTGACAATGTAAGCAAGAGCAGCGACAACACTGAACTTCGATCTTATGATCAAGTCAATGACTGTTGTTCAAACGGCGATCAATTATTGCAGAATTGCGATGTTATAAATAAAAAGAACAGCAAAGTAAGCATATTTATCCATAGGCACACTTTATGACGACGGTTTAACCGCATTATGAGGCTTCCATTGAATTTTGCAGGCTTCCGTTAATATAATACAGATTTGCTTAAATGGAAAAACTAGACTCATTTAATACCGTTAGAAATAGTAAGTAATGCAGTAATTGGCTAATACGTCTTAGATCCAGGTCTTTCATCTCCGTGTAAATTTGCCATACAAGAATGGTGCCATGAAGAATTAGAGTTAAGAATATAACCGGTTGATATAAGTACAGGGTAATTCAAAAGTCGTATAATTCGATTGAAGGAGGTATTTGCCTTTACATTACTTTCTTCGCTTATATTTTCAATTGCAGCGATTGTTAGCCATGATTTTAAAGTGATCCATTGCTGGATGAGCAGACTTTCCGAATACTAAACATACCAAAACGGGTGTCACAAATTATTATGTGCAGCAATTATTTCTCAAGAAAATATTTAWYKTWTWTKTATTWAWCTAKWTAWRAATGTCAAAWATMTCRAKACTACAACTACAACCATTTTCTAGAATATGTCGTGCACTGCACGCTACATTCAGARATGTTTCCATATTAAAGTAATTATATTGTCTGCKTGACTACGTYATAATTGAGAAATAAGTSTCTAAGCTCTATCTGATTGAGAGAGATGATTTGACGATTTCAGTCATTCATTCAAATTAGTTGAATTTTTAACCACTTAGAAAATRTTCATATTTTGAAATAGTTAWAACCATTTATCAATTTTAAACCATTTTTTTTAGAGTTAAATCGTAATTTCTAACCATTTATCTATTTTGTTCATAGCCGAATTGAAATTTAAAACCATTTATAAGAGGTTTTTATGGTTAAAGCCGAAATTTTCGTAGTTAATTCGAATTTTCAACTATTTCTCATRAAGCTTCAAGGTTAATSCAGAAATTATAATAATTTCACAAAATTTTTAATTTTTTAWGAATAAATGATATCATCAATYATAAATCGRATTTTTTACCCRTTTCAAWTTTTTTTTAATAGMTATATCGGAAGTTSTAACCATTTCTCAAAAACTTGAATGTTAAACCAGAAATTTTTCCACAAAACTTTTAATATTTAAATCGAAATTTTTAACCATTTTGCAAAAATGTTCATAGAGTTTATATCATTCTCTGTCCTAGTCAATTATCTCAATCATCAGCATGATGAATAAGTTGTAGGAATCATCAAATCTTCAGCTTCTTATCTTCATATAAAGCTTCCGAAAGAATCTGCTGCCTTTSGACTGTTTCTAGTTTTTGAATGTTAAAGTATTTATTAGATCAGATTATCTTCTTCACTCTCTTTAGATTTAAAGTAATACTTTTTCTCTCATGCAATTAGGGAAAAATTAAGGTAAACAAAATAAATAGCGTAACAGTTTCCTATGTTATTAAACCMGCATGTAAAGCAGSAAAACTACATTTTATGTTAAATGTTAACTTTTACGAGARACCTTACTTAAAATATSTTAGCAYTTTCAGCGTAGTTTTTCTTTGCTGTGGAAAAATCTGGTTTCTCTGATGCCTTGTTATGCATACTACTTAATACTGTAAGTAGCAGCAGCAGCAGAGGAAATTATTGGCSTGTGTCTATGTAGMCTAACATGCAATGSCAATTTACAAAACGTTAAAAACTTGTGTTTCATMTAGATGCAAAGGCCAGCTGTTGCCTTTCTAAAGAATTATTTTAATGTTATCATTAAGTCCTCTACAGCTACAGTTGAAATATTATATTTCAACCGACTATAGGTTGAAGAGAGCTTTTTAGGTATTAGAGAAAATTGCTTTTCTCTATTATCTAAAGAGCCTTCTACAACCACGCCAGAGAAATATCGACAATTTTGCATCACCCTGTAGTTACTCGGAGATTAAGACACCGATTCTAAGTATGTTTACTTAACATGAACAAGTAGCTCACACAATTGTAGTTTAGAGTATTACATTGCCATGTAAATAATTTAATTCCAGTCTTCGTTCGTAAAATGAAGGCTTCTTTTCTAATACTTTAAATGAATCTGCTGTTTATTAATTAGCCTTTGCTTTAGTAACGATTATTTATTTATTTATTTAATTGTCAATTTTGCATCCGAACATCAAAGCTCTTACGTAGAACATCGTGTTATGAACTCTACTCGTAGTGTGTTACTAGAGTGATTTAAAAAGTTTCTAAATTTCTATGCGATCTAGCGTTGTTTTCGAGCAGTGTTGGAAGAAAGCAAAAAATGTAAAGCTGTATCTAATTTCATCCAGTAATTTATTTGAAAATGTGGTATGGACTGTTCAGTGTGTTAGTTATAATGGGAACACAAAGTTAGTTATTGGTAAATCGTAAAATTTGATTACTTTTGAATACTCGTACCGACTAGTTACTTTTGGATTCAATACTCGTTACTTCGGATCAGGTATTCAAGTACTCATTCGAGGCGTTAGTCTAACGAAAGTCGAAGACAGATATTGGGATTTTATTAATGCCCTTCATATTTGTTACACGGACACTTTAGTCATACAAACCCTACCCAACCCTTGAATTTATGATTCCCGTTATAGATAGGTATGTTTACGTCTAAGAGTAAATAATCAGACCATTTTTATCGATTTTTAAGTCAGTTATTAATTGATTCCCTATTGTTATTGTAGATATTGTCCGCAGACATTTTGAACCCCACGGTTGTGGGTACAGTATCTAAATAAATTGTCTTTTTTAAAACAAGTCATTTAACTCTGTGAAGCAAGATGCCACACTTCCATAAATAAATTTTGGTACAGTAGTAAGTAATGCAGTGTGACAATTATCAATTTTAATGAACGTGTTTTTACAAATATGCAGTTTTCAAATAAGTAACAATTATCATGTCACATTTTATATTATAAATGTAAATATAAAAATATAATTGAAGTTTACCATGCGGCAACGTGCAACGCTATTTTTAGTGATTTTCGGTATCCATCCGTATCGGTGCGGGTACTGATTACCAGTTAGTTTAGTTACTAGTTAGTCTGAACGAGTACTCGGTATCCATCGGTATATGGATTCGGTACTGGTACTGATTACTGGTATTGATTAGCAGCAGTAAAGTATTGGGTTTCGGAGTCGAAGGTTAGGATGGGTGCTTGATTTTCCGAGAACGATACTGATTACTTGAATACTCGTTTGGTAGCGTGGTTCGGTATTCGTTACTTCCGACACTGATGAGTAACGAGTAGCCGAATACCGACTAGTTATTTTTTGCCACCACTAGTTAAAAGCAAAGAAGTTGAATAGTTAATTGACGTTACTTTCTGCTCCGTGTTTTAAGTCTAAGTTTAAAAATGCTAGATATGAATTAACTTCATTACTTTTCAGCTATATTTGCAGTATTGCTAGCTCATCCACGTGCGAGTTACGTTTCAATGTAATAGGAATTCGTTCTACTAATATATAATTTTATGAGGTCAGCGTCATTTGATATAAATACCCAAAGCTATTTACAAGGTTTTTCTAACGATTGGCGCGGTTTTAAACTTGCAATGTCTGTTTTGTTTAGTACTGTTTATAATTTTCTGGATATTAGTTTAGATAACAATGAAATCTTAAGTTGTCTTGGATTAAGGACTTTTTTATTGTCTGAAAAAATGCAAGGATTATGAAAGATTTCGAAAATGTATTTTCAACTGGATCGTTTACACTCCTGTATTTATAAAAAGTTGTAGTGATGAAATGCAAATATATGTCAAGCTAATACATCCTGCAATACTGCATTAAACCTGTTATTGTACAAGCTTATTATTTAGTTGAATAGATAGGATGCATAATGCCCTGATAGGTCGTTTTGCAGTCCAAGCAGATTTTTGTGATATCGTTGAATTAGGCCAACTATTAAGAGCTTTCGGTTTGTGAGATGTGAAATGTTCCGTATTTTTTATAAACAGAGTACAGTATATCGCAATAAACCATGTAACTAGCTAGATATAATATGTTATGTAAATATGGTGACTAAATGATTAAATTTTAATTAGGAAGACATACGTCTTTTTCTTGCGTTATTAGTTTAGAAATCAAATTAATATTATTGCAAATATGGTTACTATAAGCTGAAGCCAACGGAAAGAAAATCGAATTCGATATTTAAATATGAAGTGGTATAGTGACCAATTGTTTTCAAATTTTGCATTCCTACTTGAAAAATGCTATAAAAGGCAAGAAAGTGCGAATTTATCTCCGCTCCTCAGTTGAAATCAGTAAAGAGTCGGTTTCTCTAGGAATAATTGATACTTTAAAGAGGCCTAGAGCTTAATGCATTTAGACTCAAAGCTATAAGCAAACTTTAATTAGCACATGAAAAGTTACCTTGCCTTGTCCATAACGTATCGAAAGACGAGAAATTAGTAAAAAAAATAGTTTGTATCATGAAATATGAAAGGTTCAAAAAGAGAAAGAAATACTCTTATTAGTAAGCAGGGACATTTTCAAGAGTTCCGTGATGAGCTTTTAAAAAATTCGATGTTATTTATATAAATAGTTCAAAGCTGCAAGAAATCCCTTCCTTCAGTAAAAATGTTCACATTTGAAAAGTCGAAACATGTCTTTTGAGAATACAACAATGGTTAAATTTAATGTGTAATTTACAGAAGAAAAACACCAATACATGAAACAAATTGCTTTACACGATAATAAACAGTTTAGTTTTCTGCAGAACGCCGGTAATTTTACTACTGAAAGTTTACGATTTTTCGCTGATTGGGTGGAGACAAAGATTCATATTACATAAAATGTATCAACAGCCAACCAACAATAACTTAATTATTGTTGACCGGATTGTGTACGCATTGTAAAACGCAATGGCCGTATAGGTTTATTTTTTGGTTAATCGTGAACTTTTCAGCTTTAAAAGTGTTTGAAAAAGTTTCATTTTATTATCGAACACCAGATAATTATCAAGGAAATCAGTAATAATGACGAAAATTACTTTACACGACAAAACCAGTTTAGTTTACAGTAGAGCGACACTAGTTTTACATCTATACTGTAAAGGTTCATAGAAAGGCAGTGTGGAAAAGTTTACAACGTAATTACAATTTTAAACTTTTGATTAGGTATTGTCTATCGAAATACAGAAGTCCACAAACTGATAATTTCCGAAAAAAACAGCAAATAAATGAGGCAAATTACCTTACGCRACAACCAAAARTGYAGTTAAGRGCAGAWCTACAGCAATTKTAYATTTATTTTGTAACATTTCATTTAAAGACTGTACTGTCGAAAACWTCGATCGTTAACGTATAATATTTGACTTTAAATTAGTTTTACAGAAATAAAATTTGAAAATTTTGAAAACCCAATCCRATATCAAACATTGKTAAGTGGCAAGAAAACAAATATTTTTTYCGCAAAAACTATGAAWGCTACAAGGTTTTACAATGAGCACAWAAWTGTGAATAAATWATTAGTGCATCAAMCAAAAAAAAWTACTTTATTTCATCCGCCAAMWAAAAAKTTCTGGTAGTTTTYGAACCACSACACTCAAGAATTTACCAATTGTCCAAARCGGATGAACTCGATTGTTTAATCAAAATATGAGTCTTACATAAGAACAAATTTATAGCGAGTTTCACTAAAATACATCGTACCATTCTCCCGATGTTCCAAAAAAGATATTTTTTTTGAAGAACTTTGACCATCAATAGCAGATGAGCCAWACATTTTTTGTTAATAAAAGTKARGTCAGATYGTCTTCTTTTRATGCAAAKAATATCGCAGTWTCATTTTGATCATGTGCTTACGAGACACCCTGTATATTGACTTTRTATTGAGTGCTATTGAAAATGGWTCGATATGCATTTTCATGSTGATGCTCGACGTTTARAATGCGGTTTTTTTGTAAATATATWTAATTCTYCCGTCGACCTTTTTAAGTGKCATTRCGGCTTTAGAATTACAAGTATTMAATCCTGAAAACCGAATAACAACATRACAAACACTTGAAGGCAAAAGTAGGAACTTTTTAGTTTCGTTTAGAATAAAAGCACAGTTTGTTAGAATACGWATGMAAATTTAAGTMAACTTAAGAAAAGAAAGTCGTTAAAATATCTTAATAAACGTCTTGTACATGAAAACCATCCATTGTGTTGTATTATGGTTTGTATAACTGTTGCGAAATTATTTTACGTTCAGTTCTTTCCATTTGGGCATTTATCGAAATTGTCCAAGTTGGACAGTTGATGTCCATCAGAGGCGTACCGTAGATATAGTTGAATTAGAACTGGACAAAAATAGCTCCGAAGAATAGTGAACTGCATCGTAAACAGTGGGAAAAGATCTAAATCCTAATTTTGTGACGAAATCTGGATACACTTTGGTGAGCATTTCGTAGACAGGTTCTAGAATGAATTTTCCACTAAAGATGTATGTTTTGTTAAAGCCAGCAACAAAGTACCTTTACAGCTGGCGATGTATACGGGAATGTCCAATTTCGTAAAATTTTCCACAACTGATTTTAGCATTGAAACTCCTGATGGATCTATATGACTGACCGACGAAAAATCTAAGATCAAACATCGGAGCTTAGTGTTTACTTTGCCTTGAACCTTTTCCAGCTTTCCGGTTAGATTGGCCGACTTGTGTAGTTGGTCGTCAGCCTATAAAAGAATATATATTAGAGCAATAAAAAAGAAAATATCAGCAGCTCACTTTTCCTAAGTACTTGGCAAGTTTTGCTCGGTAGACAACTTCCTTTTGAGGATTGATCCCGATCAAGCGGATCAGATCGGATTTAAAAATCGATTTCGTGGCAAAATTGATTCCTCCAGAATAATGGAATATTTTGATGCCCTCAACCTCTTTGGCCTAGAAATAGCACAAATAGTATATTGAAATTTTGTTAAAAAAAGCCGGTTATACCGCTTTATATCTTGCGATGTCCAAGTAAAAATCGGTATTTGGAACATGCCCGAGAAGGCAGGTATGAGGTTTGAAGCTGAGGAAAAGAATAGCCGCCAGTGATAGAACAACTCCACATAATAATCCGATGTCAATATTGATCAGCACTACAGTGAGAAATGTGCCCATCCAAACTAAGGCGTCCACTTTACTTAATTTCCAGAACTTCCAAAATTCTAACACTTGAAGCAGCATTCCTTTTAATGCAACTACTATAACGCCAGCCAGAACTGCCTGAAAAAATATTATTGAAAAGGGCGAACAAGAAAAGTAAAACAAGCTGATGAGTAAAGCTATTTCTTTGTAAAATGACCGTCCAGGGATTTAACTTTATTTTCCTGTGGGAGTAAAATATTATAAATCGATGAAAAGCTCCCAACAGCCTTCTTCAACTTCAACATTTTCAATTGTAAAGGTATGCAATATGAAAACTCGTTAGATAGCGTAGAAAAGTCCACCGATTCTTGGCTTACTAATTAGGCCTGGGTAACGCGGTGCATTTTTAGGAGTTGGCGCAGTGCTACGCAAATGGTTTGGTGCGCCAACTCCACTACAACTACAACAACTTTAACTTTTTAGGACCTTTTATTAAGTATCAGTTTAAAAAATTTTCAAAATTTCAGAATTTTCCAGTTTTAGCCAAGTTACTCTTTCTTCTAAATGCTCAATTTCCTAAAGTTTCACTTAAAAATGCTGACAATCTTAAGGTACTTTCGCTTTGTAAAAAGTTTTGAAATCCCTTTCCAACTTCGAATTTGTAACAAAAATCAAATAATTTTCTATCAAAAAACGCACACAATAAGCGAAAGTTTATAACAGATTATTTGGAAATCTCGTCACCTCCATACCTCTGGAGACTGTAGAGTTTGCTAAAAAAATATGGTTTTTTAGTTTTGACTGATTTTTTTTTGCTTTACTTTCTACTCATAAACGCTTTATTTTGTTGAGTTTCACTTCAAAATACTGACGATCTGGAGGTCTTAAAATGGACGCAAAAAATTACAAAAT